AGGGAGCCCGATGCGGGACTCGATCCCAGGACCCTGGGATCATGACCTGAGCCGAAGGCAGACGCTTAACCATCTGAGCCACCCAGGCGCCCGACCCTCTGCCCTTTTTATCTTTATACTCTATCAGTAAACTCCAACCCTGTTCCTTCAGTTGTCTGTCTACATGCAGCCTGACTCACACAGCAGAGTAAGAGAAAACAGACCACGCCAGCTGGTCTCACTTTAAATTCATGACCACTCATTGCTGCTCAAGGACATGTCCTTACTGCATTCCTTTTCCCTTGCTTTTAGACAAGCCTCTGAAGCCTCATTCCCCACCAGTTGGGATGATGACCTTGCTGCTGCTGCCCTTTTTTTTTTTTTTTTTTTGGACCAAGAAGATAGGATCAAACAAAACGATGATTGACTCATATATATGTTTTGTTATATTTAATCTCATCCCTACCTACAGAATATATCAAAATAACAATGGTTTGATCATTTAAAACAAAGTGTGATTTTGAAACCCATAGTTTTCTTTTACAAATCTAAGTAGACTACATGCATTGTTCCTTTAGTATCCGTGAGATTCATGGAGGATGTGACATTTGAACTAGGTTTTGAAGGAGTATTAGGGTTCTCATAGAGGAGGACCGGGAAGATTTCCAGATAGAAGAGATGAGCAAAACATGTAAGCAACAAAGAGTAGGGTGTTTGGAAATTAGTGGTTAGCTGTTGAAGGAGCAAAATAAGACTGTCACAGCTAATCTGGACCAGAATCTAGAGGTCCTGAATTCTGACCTGTGGAATCTGCACTCCTGCACCTAATTTAATTCATTAAGGTAGTTGAGCCATGATCTTCACACTGCATTGGTCGTGGGTGAAGTAGGAGAAAATCCTGGAGGGAGTGTGGTCTCACCCCAAAGGACAGTGTTCAGTACTGGCTAACCCAGCGTGCCGGGAAGCTCCCATTGGGTCTGCTGCCTTAGTGACCTGTACTAGACGTTGTGTGGGAACATGGCTAGTCAACTACCTTACAAGTAGTTACTTAGTTTGGTTGAGTTATTTCACTTAATGGACTGCAGTTACTTCTAGGGGTGAGGCACTGTATTTGGTGGGGAACACAGAGATGAAGATGTGAAGATGTGGTCCTCTCTATAAAGAGTGGGTCTTTGCTTTTCACTGCCCTTCATTTGTACCTCCCAGTGCACTCAGTTCCTCTCAGTGGCCTGGACCACACAGCCCATCACTATTGTCACTTATTTGCACAGGCCCCAGACCCTCTGCCCTTTTTATCTTTATACTGTATCAGTATGGGAGAGACCCAACGTGGCAAACCATATTCTCAGACAAATAAGGTTTACCACCTAGACCCCAGTTCCGTGGGTTCAGTGGCTTAACCCTGCTTGGGGCAGACAGGGAAGTCTTTGTAGTATCATTTGGTCCAGATCTTGGGAGATTAGCAGGAATGGGTATAAAACATCCTATACATTTTACTCACTAGTTGATAATATTTTATGTGTTAAATTTGTAGTATTTATGGTACCATTATAGTGGAGCATGTTAACTTTTTAAACTACATGTCCTACTTCACTTCAGTCTCACTGCACCATGGGGTTCTACTGTAAGGTTGCTATGTCTCACAAAGGTATGCGTAGAAGCAGAAGGATGGAGACCTACAGCTGCGGGGGGTGGGGGGGTGGTTAGACACGGAGGGAGTCTCGGAAGCTGACTGTTACACAGATGAACTCTGAAATGAGCATTGCTCATCAGAGCTCTGAATTTCATCCTTGTATTAAGAACAGTAGCAATAATCGATTAGTAACCTTACATTTGAGAATAAAAGTCATGACTCTCTTCAACAATTATGAGAAATTATTGGGGGAAAAGGAGACCTGGGTGATACTTTTGATCCTGCACTTAAATGCATCCCTTTGACTTGGGATCAAGACCTCATTATGGGAGTCTCCCTGAAAATAAAGGGATTCTTTAGTGTTGGCCGCTTTTGGTCTTCCTGGCCACCTATGAAGACAGGCTTTCCCTAAGGACAGTTTCTCTTGTGAATCATCCCCTGAGGACCTTGGCTCTGCCGCCCAGCCTGATCCCACTTCCTTTTGACTACGTCCAGTTTTCTGGTCTGAAATCAACCCTGTGTCCATCCACAGGCCCATTGTTTCCTATTCATCAGTCTCCAGCTTCACCCCTGGTGAGTTTCCCTGTCGTAATGACCTCTTCTTCTTATCCAAACTTTCCATTCAGCTGATCTCTTCCCAGCCATTTGCAAAGCACATTTTTATTACTTCTGCCTTTCATGGTCCACAGTGTATGCCTCATTCTCTATAGGATAGCTCCTAGCAAAACAGTCCCCTCACCGTCAGTCCTCCCACTTCCTGACCTGATTTCTGGCAGAGTCCAGTACAATGCACGGCGTGTAGGCGCTCAAACATTTGTTGAATGGGTGATTGGATTAATAAATGACAGATTACATCCTGTCATCGATGCTTGTCGCTACTAATGCTGATTATTTCTAGGTGTTATTTTGCCGCAGTGGTTTCTTTAAATGGACATAGTCATAGACAACATGGCTGTTCTCTCCTAGTGGTGCCCCCCATCACAGCACACTATTACCATTACAGAGTGATAGAAAAATAACAGATGTGAACAGGAATCTTTAAAGCAAAGGAAAATATATGTTACTGATTTTTAAAAATATCCATTAATGTGAATTTTTCATCTTATAGCTCTAAATGTTTCTATGTTGTAACATTTCTCTTAGTTGGGAATAAGCACTTGTGCCTTCATAAGGAAGTTCTACTTAAAATGAGAGCGAACTTTGTTCTGGAAAGTTTAAAGTAATTGGAAAGCCTCATTGCATGTTATTATTTTAAAGACTCAATTATTTTATGGATATGCCATAGAAACTAGGATATAAGAAACCAGAGTATTAGTATATGGACTCAGATTTCTTTCCGAAGCAGTTTTAAATTTAACTCTGTAAATAAAGTAAAGTAGTGTACATCCCTATTTTACACCCAGGGCCTAAGGAAGTAACACTCTTTTACTATTAAAAATATGAAAGTTTCAAAATTATTTTTAGCCATAATACATTTAAATCTTAGTTAACTGGAACCCAAGAAACTGTTTCCTTTAGTACCAGATAGAGCACTCACATCTTCCCTTTCAGAAAGAGGCAAATGAAAGCAAAAACATGTTACTATCAGGGATTTGGTCAACAGAGAAATTTTAAGAAAATTTCTAGTGAAATCGGTACAAATATCCTTCTTCCCTACAAGCAGAATCTGTCACCCTGCCCAGATGTATGGCTCACAGGCATTTGCCAGTTTTTGTCATTTAAAGTTGAGAGTGAGAGAGGAGACAAAGTGATGCCATTAACGTAAGAATCTTTCGTTCTGAATTGAAAAGAAATCTAAACAAAGATTATTTATTGGGTAAATCTTAAATTAGAAAATTAAAATAACAAAAAAAAAGAAAATTAAAATCACTATATTACTGCTTTCTCTGAATATTTTTACTAATCAAATTTTAATGTAGCTTTTATCAGATATTGCCTCCAAATATTGTGCTTTTATGATCTATTTTAATGTTAAACAAATCAAATATACTTAAAAGGTTTTAACAGTAGGAACAGTTTCTTAAAAAAATTGAAAATTATTTTATCATCATACCTGTTGAGTTTGCTTTAGTTTTCAGGGGTTGATGAATTTGCAAATCCTGTAAACTGATTCAGATATTCCTAAATTCTTTAACTGAGTCTCTTAAAAATCCACAGTAACTGTGTGTCCAGACAAGTCTGTCCTTGAATTACTGTAGCAATTTAAGCAAATATAATCTGCTTGGAAAACACTTGGGTTGAATTAAAATTATGTATTTCTTTTCATTATCCAAAACTTTGTGGATTCAAATTGAGATGCTTGTGCTGTTGGTCAGATTTATGTGGCTTACTTCCCTTTCTTTTCCCCTTAATTTTGGTTTGAGGTGTGGCAAGAATTTCCTCTAATATGAAAGGCAAACAGAACTAAATGAAACAGCATGTACTGATTACTGTTTTTATTTTCATTTTCATACCAAAGAATTCTCCAAATTAAGGTCGCCTGTAACTTGGAGCTCAGTGTCTCAGCAATTTAAGGTGGAATTCAAGAGTGGTCTTGAAATGTCCCTTGTCTGAAACCTCACATTCACACCAGGGCTTTCTTTTATTGAAGACAAGCAACCAAGATTAGAAATATAGCTTGCACATCTAGTTTACCTTTTTTTTCTTTTTTAAGATTTTATTTATTTGAGAGAGAGAGAGCGAGAGCACAAGCAGGGGGAGGGGCAGAGGGAGAGGGAGAAGTAGGCTCCCCTCTGAGCAAGGAAGCAAGGAGCCCAGCTACACAGGGCTGGATCCTGGGACCCCAAGATCATGACTTGAGCTGAAGGCGGTTCCTTACCGACTGAGCCACCCAGGCGCCCCTCTAGTTTACTTTTTAAACGAAGGGACTTGTCATTAGTGACACAGATTAAATATATAACTTTTCCACACAAAGAATTATACCTTCTTTTCTGTTCGCTTTCACTGTTCTCCCCTTCCTCCCGAATATATGCGCTAGAATGCCTGCTATAAACCTTTGAAAAAAAAATTAATCTGGTGATATAATTTAGTATCTTGCACTCGGAAGATAGATCTCTGATTTGCCTCTTTAGGTTAGTACAAAAAATAATTTTATAGTATTGACTAAAATGGCATTAGGAACTTCTGTTTCCTTTATTTTGTAGATGTAGAAAATCTCTTCACTGAGTTGTTTCTCCTGAGGAATAGTGGTTAACTGCTTAAATGCTACATTTTTGTCCTAGCGTGTTTTTTTATTTTAAACAGAGAGTTAACTTGTATTTCTTGGCAGTGAACTTTTAGTTCATGCTTTGGAAGGCTCTTTTAAAGTTTGTACAAACTAATAAGGTAAAGTGAATCCCAGAATTTGTTTTTGTGTCCTCAGATGGTGTTTACCATTAGATTTTTACAAGGAAATCACAGGGTTTATTTTGTTATACTTCAGGTTTTTTAAAAACGTGCTGTGTTTCAAGTGATGGTTGGCAGTACTGTAAAAATCTCATCTATTATTTGAGACACTGGTATGTGAAACATGGCAGACTGTATTTGGGCCAAGATTTCATCTTGTTGCTGATCTTTTCCATATGTTTCCTATTAGTCTTTGTTCTTGAACCTCAGGCTTCCATACTAAGGAGAGAGAGCAAATCTGTGTAATTTTTCCAAGAATTTAGTTTTATGTGCCCTCAGAGTTCTTATGGAAGATAAAGTTGAAATCAAAAGCTTAATTTTCATATAATTCTTCATTTAACACTGTGATTTGAACTTGTGATCATGATTATGTTGTTCATGTTCCTAACACATGTGGAAAGAATATTTATCAATATAGCTAGAGCACCTAGAATCACTCGTGTCTAGGAAATTTGAAAGAGGTGGATGGTGTCCAGGAGGTTTAGGTTGGGAGGTGGGGTAGTAAGAGGAGTGTTGATTCACATTAGACCTTATAGGAAAAGTAGAAGCTGTAAGTGACTGTGATAGTTCAGTGTTTCAGTTCGGTGGGTATAATTGCAGCAGTCGAAGAGAGAAGTCCACTGAATTGATGGAAAGTCTAAATTATATTCTATGGTGATAATTTGATTGAAGTAGATACAGTACCTTCATAACTGAATAGTGCCGGTGGAGAAAGGCCAGACTGAGATCTGCCTAATTGTGGTAATCAGGGATTTTTTCTTTATACTCATTCAGCTAATATTTTTTAGCACCTGATTTGTTCAAGGCAGTTTTAAGTGCTGGAGACTCAGCAACACAAGTTTCTATTGTCATGGAACAGGAAAACAGAAAATAAACATATGAAGTGGTTCAGAATGCAGTGGAGAAGAATGAAGCAAGGTAGGGGGGATCAAAATGAGTGAGCACAGGCACAGGTCAGCAGTTCTGACCCTCCTGCGCACCCGTGCTCCCACAGAGCGGTCACATAGCTGGGTGGCGGGTGGCGGAGCCAGGTGTCTCACCACTGCAGGGAGGTTACAGATAAGCAAGGGGAGACAGCGGGAATGACGCACACGGCGACGGGCCAGAGCTGGAGACATCAGTATGAACCCATGTTCAGCTTAACACAGCACAGGTGGCTCCATCTAGAAATGTCTGTAGATGTGTGTGTGCATGGGCCAGTGTACCCACACCTGTCTCCTGGCTCAGTCGGCTGGGAGGGCGTAAAGCAAACCCCCAGCACCCAGATCTTGGCTGCTGCTGCTGCTTTTTTAAGATTTTATGTATTTATTTGAGAGAGAGTGTGTGTGTGCGTGCCGGGGGCAGGGTCAGAGGGAGACAGAAAGAGAATCTCAAGCAGCCTCAGAGCTGAGCACAGGACTCACTCAATCCCACGACCCCGAGATCATGACCTGAGCCGAAATCAAGAGTCGGATGCTTAACCGACTGAGCCACCCAGGTGCCCCCAGTTCTTGGCTTCTGTCACCTTCTGCCATAAAGGAAACCAGGCTCCTTGAAGAAATGGCTGATTCCAGGACTGAGGCACGAACATACAAGATGAGCCTGGAGTACCTTGCAGCACCAGAGTTGCTAAGAAAGAAATGGGAAATCGATGTACCTTCTCAGTTTTACTGTGAACTTAAAAACTGCTCTAAAAGATTAAATCTATTTAATAAATTTTTAAGAAAGGAAATTACTATTTTAGATAGTTTAGCAGAGACCTGAATATAGTGAGGGAGCAAGCCACAATGGTATCAAAAGGAAGAAGACAGTATGGCTGGGGCTGAGTGATCTGGGCAGGGGGAGGGTACCCTCAGAGAGGCAGCCAGGGCCAGCGTCACCGTCAACATAGGCTTCTGACGTGCTTGGAAGCCTCAAAGCATTCTACTACATCAAATCACGTTTAGGAGGCACACTTGACATTTAGCTGATGAACTGCTTCCATCAGAAAGACCATTCAGGCAACCCTACAGAAGTAGCCCAAACACTAGACAGAGCACGTGCCCAGCAGAGTCCATCTTTGTTCCTGTGCCCCTCACGGCTTCCATTTCCCACATTGTTCTCTTTTCCCGTAAATGGTGTCCCTGTCCCAACTTCACCCACTGTCTGACGTAAGCCAGAAGGTTGGGAGTTGTTTAAATGAGTGCATCCCAAAATGTGGCAGGAAATCCATCAGTGTGTGAATTGCTAATTTAAAATTCAGGTGGCATCATCTCTATACCTTAGACCTTCAGAACCAGAAGCTCTGAGCGCAGGCCCAACAACTTACATTTTTAACAGGTCTACAAGGTGCCATGAAAACTTGAGAACCACTGATCTAAATCACCTTCTGTCCCTTACTTTCAAATTGGATCTGTTCCTGAGTCCTTTGTGATCTAGCACAGGAGTGTCTTTTTGGTGTGTCTGTGTCTCTTGGTCAGTAACTGACATGTCTCCCTCAGATGTTGCAGTGGTGTCTTGTTCACACATCTCATTCTCCAATCCAGTTTTCATCTTATTATGTATTAAAATAAATCTAATTGTACCGTGCCTCTGCTTAAAATCCTCTAGTGTTGCCTCATATTTTAAAATAAATTCCAAACAGAGGCGCCTACGTGGCTCAGTCGGTTAAGCATTCAACTCTTGGTTTCCAGATGGTGATCAGGTCATGATCTCAGGTTCTGGGATTGAGCACTGCGTGGGGCTCCGCACTCAGTGGGGCGTTGGCCTGAGGATTCTCTCTCTCTCCTTCTCCCTTTGCCCCCTCCCGTCCACCCTTTCTCTCCCCCTAAAATGAATACATAAATCTTAAAAAATATAAATTCCAAACATAGGGGCACCTGCCTAGCAAAGTTGGTAAAGCATGTGACCTTGATCTCTGGATCGTGATTTCAAGCCCCATGTTGAGCATAGATCTTAATAAATAAATAAATGAGTAAATGTAGCACTTAATTAATTCAAAAAAATAAAAATAAATTCCAGACATGACCTTCTCCTTTGGGGAAACTCCGAAGGCCTACCTCTTGCCTGTTCCTGGACCAGCTGATTTGTGTTTCTGGGCTGCTTTCTGGCCTCAAGTTGCCCTGCTCCTTCCTGTTCCTTCATGAAGACACCAGCTGAATGTCCTACAGTTCAACTCAATTCTGACACTGTCTACCCAGAGTTAACATCACATCTCACAGGTTAAGGGCTCAGTCCCACAATACTGTCCCCACTTTGGATGCCAGTCACAAGTAGTAGGTCTTCAGGTTAGATAATTTTCTGTAATGGCTAACAGAACTCAAACGCTTATGTTTATTGGTTTATTATTTAATAAAGCACATGGTAAAGGGTATGGGTGTAAAGCCAGATGAGGGGATACATGCTATGAGGTCTGGAGGGGCCCTGAGCCCAGGAGCTTCTGTCCCCTTGGAATTACGGTATGCTTTGCTCCCAACTCATGCATGTGCCCACCAACCTGGACTCTCTCTGAACCCTGTACCTTAGGGATTTTTGTTTAGGCTTCCTCACGTAGGTGTGGTGGATGATTAGCCCAATTTCTAGCCCCTCTCCTTCCTCAGAGGATGGGGGGGTGGGGCTGAAAGTTCAAAGCTTCTGATCATGGCAGGTCTTTCTCATGACCAGCCCTCATCCACAAACCATCAGGGAGCCCACCCAGAGTCACCTCCTTAGAACAAAAGATATGTCTATCACCCAGGAAATTCCAAGTGATTTCGGAGCTCTCTGTCAGGAACTGGGGGCAGACATCAAATGTATATTTCTTATGTCACAGTGGTACACCACAAAAATTCTTCCTGCAGCTTCTGTCCCCGAACACCTGGTTCCCATCCCAGCGGCCACTGCTAAGGGCTGCCACGTTGTCTGACTCCAGGGGACACATTCACTGCTGTTGAGACCTTTGGTAGAATACAGTGTTGGCATTT